TCCAGATTATATTTTGATTTTGTTTTTACAAATCCTGTATATTTTATATGTTACATTTCCCTCCTTCTTATAGTTCTTTAGTGACTGTTGATTAATTAGCTATATATACTTCCTAATAAGCATTAACATTTATTGCAGAAGTGTAAAATATATATTAAGGTGTGTGTGTGTGTGTGTGTGTGTGTGTGTAGCATGGTGGCTCAGCAGTTAAAGATGCTGAGCTTGTCAGCTGGAATGGGGTGAGCTCCTGTTATTGCCCCACCTAACAACTCCTACCCACCTAGCAGTTCAAAAGCATGCAAATGCAAGTAGATAACTAGGTACCACTTTGGTGGGAAGGTAATGCTGTTCCATGCATCCTAATGTATAGTCATTCTGGCTACATGGCACATTGCCCCCTAGAGTTGGAGATGACTGGACAGGGAAAATATTTTTCTTTACACACACACACACACACACACACACACACACACACACACACTCTGGCATTGTAATATGTTGTAATAATTCACATTAAAGAATCTATTTGCTACATTGATTATATTTTACTGTGATATAAAAACCAAATAATAGGATAGGATAGAATAGAATAACAGAGTTGGAAGGGACCTTGGAGGTCTTCTAGTCCAACCCCCTGCTCAAGCAGGAAACCCTATAACATTTTAGACAAATAGCTGTCCAATCTCTTCTTAAAAACTTCCAGTGTTGGGAGCATTCATAACTTCTGGAGGCAAGTTGTTCCACTGATTAATTGTTCTGTCAGGAAGTTCCTCATTAGTTTTAGATTGCTTCTCTCCTTGGTTAGTTTCCATCCATTGCTTCTTGTCCTACCTTTGGGTGCTTTGGAGAATAGTTTGACTCCCTCTTTTTTGTGGCAGCCCCTGAGATATTGGAACACAGAGTGCCTTGAATGCAGTGGTGGGATTCAATTTTTTTTTTACTACCAGTTCTGTGGGCGTGGCTTGGGGGGCATGGCAGGGGAAAGATACTGTAAAATCTCCAGTCAAAGATGGTATTTGCCGGTTCTGCAAACTACTCAAAATTTCCGCTACTGGTTCTCCAGAACTGGTCAGAATCTGCTGAATACCACCTCTGCTTGAATGAAACATACTATAGTTATTAAGGTGATAGAAAACCATCAGGGAGATCTGGGTTTAAGTCCATTAATACATGGAAGCTTACTGGTAGACTTGAGTTCAACAAGTCTGTCTTGTCCCAACTGCCCAGATAATTCCCACTCCTCCCCATGTTGTAGGTGGGGAGCACTGTTAGTTTATGATAACACCAGGTAGCATTCTTTGTATCTGATGAACTGAGATGCAGCTTAATAAAACATATTCCTTTCAATAAAAGGCGTAGGATGGAAAAGGTGCTACTAGCTTTCTGATTTTTCCTCCCTCTCAAATCTCTTACTCTAAAATGAGCATTAGTGACTGATAGTAGCTAATGAAATCTTCTGGTTACACTGTGGCCCGATTCACTCTTCTTCATTTCTAACTATATTTAAATGCATTGCATCAATTAAGGTAGACTGGTAAAAGGGAGATCCTGATTTTGATCTAGCCTCAGCCATAGAACCTCCCTAGCCCAAAGTACAAAGTAATTATAGTGGGAGATACTTGGAGGAGGGAGTGTTACAGGCACTGACTGATGCTCCTGAAGGAAGCATGGGCTATAAACCAAACAATTTGAGGAAGTAGATATATATAACCTACTTAAGCAACCTATTTAGTATATTAAATGAGTGAAATATAACTGCTTTAAGCATGAATAATGGCCACAACATATAAGAATATTAAGCCTTAAGCAAATGGAGATGTGTGGTTTCATGTACTTAATTGTGGGCTGGATTAGTCATTTGCTCCCTTAAGCAAAATGTTTGTGAACATTTCTGCAAAGTCAGTTCTCTCATATACTTGTGCCAGATTGAGCAGTCTTTGTGATACTGTGAAAGTAATTATACAATAGACAACCCAGATATAGAGAGGCAGAATGTGAATATCTCAATAGAAGTGGAATTATTGTAACATTGGTTTCTTTCATTCATTCCCTCTATTGGTGCTAAAGCAGGGATCTCCAAACTTGGCAACTTTAAGACTTGTGGACTTCAACTCCCAGAATTCCCCAGCCAGCATGGCTTGTTGGCCCTAAACCTGATGTTCTTGTATTTTGCTACTTTGAAATATCTGCAAAAAATTATTAGACTCCCAGCTAATTAGAGCCCAAGTGAGATTGGTCTCATCCTTGGTAGCCATCCAGAAGTCCCTCAAAATGCTGTTATGTCAATAGGCTTGCAAATTTCAGAGAAATAGATAAGTGTTGAGATGGCTTCTGTTGTCTCAGGTTTTGGGATAGTGTCTGGTGGGTGCAGGACATGTGATACAGTAATACATCTTGTAGGAACTCCAATTTTATATTTCTGGATATGGGGACAATATCCATAGACTGCATTTCCTATTTAGATGAAACAAGCTAACATTCTAATTAAAACCTTGATCATAACACACAATCAGATAAGCCACCAACACTTCACCATCTCATATATGTAGCATTTGTGTCACGGGGATGTAACCAAATCATTTCAGAAGTGCTTACCTTTCAATTCATAATATAGAATGAAAAACATACTCTAATAAAAGACCAGAACTTAGATAAAACACAAGCTGGGCTGCCCTTGAAAAGAGTATAACAGATAACAGATAATCAGAGTTGGAAGGGACCTTGTAGGTCATCTAGTCCAACCCCCCACCCAAGCGGGAGACCCTACACCATTTCTGACAGATGGAAGTCCAGTCTCTTCTTGAAAGTCTCAAGTGATGGCGCTCCCACAACTTCCGAGGGCAAGCTGTTCCATTGGTTGATTGTTCTCATTGTCAGAAAGTTTCTCCTTATTTCCAGGTAAAACCTCTCCTTGTTCAGTTTCCATCCATTATTCCTTGTCTGGCCTACAGGAGCTTTAGAAAATAGCTTGACCCTGTGGCAGCCCCTCAAATATTGAAAGACTGCTATCATGTCTCCCCTGGTCCTTCTCTTTACTAGACTAGCCAAGCCCAGTTCCTGCAACCGATCATTATATGTTTTAGCCTCCAGTCCCCTAATCATCCTAGTTGCTCTTCTCTGTACTTTTTCTAGTCTCTCAACATCTTTTTTATAGTGTGGTGAACAAAAATGGATGTAGTACTCTAGGTGTGGTCTTACTAAGGCTTTATAGAGTGGTATTAGTACTTCCCTTGATCTTGATTGTATCCCACTGTTAATACAACTTAGGATTGCATTAGCTTTTTTGGCGGTGGCTGCACACTGCTGGCTCATATTTAGCTGGTTGTCCACTAAGACTCCAAATTCCCTCTCACAGTTACAGCTATTGAGCCTGGTTTCACTCAGTCTATATGTGTACTTTTGCTTTTTCTTGCCTAAGTGTACAACTTTACTTTTCTCTACATTGAATTTCATTTTGTTAGATACGGCCCAGTGTTCTAGTCTGTCAAGATCCATCTTAGTATCCAGAAGCTTTGGTTGATACAGAATGCAACGGCCTGGCCATTGAAAAATGCATGTTGCATCTCTGCTCTGCGAGCTGTGTCAGTTGCCAGTTTGCTTTCAGGTCCAATTCAAGGTGCTGGTTTTGATCTTTAAAGCTCTGCATAGGATGGGACTGGGTTATCTGAGGAAGAGGCTCTTCCCTGGTTAACATCAGTTCACTCCACTACATCTGGATGAAAATGCATGCTGCTGCTTTTATTTATTTTATCTTAAAGGCCTTCATTTGGTGGGTCCCAGGAAATATGTCTTCTCTGCAGTGGTGCCTGCCTTATGAAACATTCTTCCCCCAAAAATTAGATTAGCTCCATCCTTTTCAATATTCTGGAACTCTCTCAAGGTTTGCTTATGTGACCAGGTCTGCGGCTCCAACAGAACCAGGGACTTGTTTATATCAGCGTTCCCCAACCTTTTCATCTCGCTGGACCAGCGGATGTAGTAGCAGCAGCAGTGGTTAAGGGAGAGAGAGGAGATGGTTTTGCATGCGCACATGTGCAGCTTTCACAAATGCAGCTTTGCACATGCACACGCTCACCCACCACTTCGGTGGCCCAGTTCAGAAGGGGGAAAAAAAGTATCAATTTTTCTTGTTTTGACCTCTTTTGTAACTTTTTGTTTCATTTTAGAAATGTATATTTGATGCGTTCCCAAATGACACTTGGGTGACTTGAAAATATGTAAATAAGAAAAAGAAATGTATTCATTATTAAAATGTCCAATAGACATGGAGAAGCTGGCCCTGCAATTGGTTTTGGACTGCATTTTCTATAATCATTGATGACAGTCAGTGTTGGTTGGAGCAGATGGAGATATAGTCCACTTATTCCCAATGCTTTCTGCATATTAATTTGTTAAAACAACAGAATATATTTGAAAACTACTGTTACCTCATTCACTTGGCAGAGAAAGGATTCATGGCACTTTAACAGAAGATAGTAGCAGTCCAGCTCTTGAAAAACAAAAGCAAAGGAGCGAGTTTCATGTATACATGCAACAAATTAGTCCATAAGTCTTGAACTGAAATCAGCAGAAGGAATTAATCAAAACTAACCCAAATCTGTTTTCAGTGAAATTTGGCCAAATGTATTTTAATTTGGTTGAAGATAAGAAATTTCAAAAATATTAATTTTCCAAATTATCAAAGTCACATGGATAGATGCCTTTATTTTATTTTTTTAATAATTTCCACATTTTATTCAAATTCTAAATTAGTCCCTATGTTTATTTGTTTTTAAAAAAATAGGGTAAGAAAAATCAGATTACTTCATGGTTCCAGGATATTTGGCTTACTTGAGTAGTCTGTTTGCCATTGTAGAGTGGGAAAAACCGTTATTTCACATGCTCTTGTCTAGGCTCGTCAGTGGTCTGTTTAATTTCTGAAACATCTATGGCTTTTTTTTTTTTTACCAAGAATGTTAAACTGAAACAGGCAACTTTGTATTCTGTTGATCTTTGAACAGGATGCTATGGAGAAAATGGAGAAAATTGGCCGGATTGTGCTGCCAAATCACAAGGATAAAAGGTAATAGGATTTTTCAGTGAGTTTTGTTTGTTAGAGAGTTATAAAATTGCATAAAACTATTTATGCTGGGAAATTTTTATCCCTTTGTTCTTAAACATTCATTTTTTAAAAAAATATAACTTGGTAACATGTGGCCAAAAATTGCAACCTGATGTGTAAAATGCTTTTAAAAAGATAGTAAAACCAAGGTATATGTTATTCTGAATAATACAAAGGAAACCCATGTGTATTTATTTCTCCATTCTAACTTGTTGAGGTGGTAATAGAGCTTTTTATGGAGTAAAGAAAGCTGGTTCTCCTTCTCTTTGGTTGCACTTTGATTATTTCACCAGCTTTTAACAATATCTGTGTTGCAGCAAGTAGACAAATTCAGAAAGACAGACAATAGTAAGCAAGTAACTCCCCCTCTGTTGCAAATCTCTCCCTATTTTTGATTTTCACTGGAAAATATTGCTGGGATTTCCATATTCATGTGGGACCATATGAATTATGGCATGTTGGGGATCGTGCTCACCGTGTGCAGTTTTTCAAAAGTGCTTATTGTGAACACATCACCCTCCCCCTTCCAATCTTCCTTCTTTCTCTCTTCTGCTCCTGCCCTGACGTGTAATAGGGAGGGGCTAAGGGTAGTGGTGCGATTCAACTGGTGTATCAACCGGTTCACGCACCTGCACCTGCGCCAAAAAAGCCTCTAATACTTACCTTCAACTGCAGCCTCTGTGAATAAAACAGCTGAAACACGGCAAACGGCTCTAAACAAAGGAAATAAAACACAGGAAAGAGCAGGGACAGGCAGGCGGGCCCACATGTTCATCGCAGTGAACCGGTTCATTCAGATTGATCATCGGAACAAGGTTCGGTCCGAACCGGGAGAATCCCTTCCCTGGCTAAGGGTCCACAAAAGTGGATGGAGGAGCAGAAGATGACTCAACTTTGTCATTTGTCTCTGCTTCACTTTCATTTAGTATTGGCTGGCCAAGCCCTGCTTTTCAAATCACTGTCCTTTCTGAATTAGGGAAAAAAAGTCATATACAGGTAGTCCTTCCCACTTAATGATCATAATTGGCCTTGCAGTCTCATTCACTGAAGTGGTCATTAAATGAGATACTGCATGACTGCTTTGCTCAATCCTGGCTCTCCCAGTTGTGCTTGTAAAGTGAATGCACAGGTCATTAAGCAGGGTGAGGTAGTGATAAGGCACAAACCCCTCAACATACTCAGGAGGCCAATGCCTCGATTCACCAGGGAGAACAAGTGCAAGGATGATGGCATTCAATAGCACTTTTCCTTCCAGAGAGAAGGGAAAATAGAAAATTTCTACTTAAAAGTTTTTAGGGATCTGGGTTTCTGCTGCATTTCGGCAATGCTAACAGGCTGTGTTTACAAAACTGCTTGGAGCTTCTGTCCTCTGTGAAATTAGTAAACCAAGACTTCTGAAGAGAATTCCTGACACTTTCCTTTCCGTGATTTTTCTAGTTATTCTGTTGGTATATTCTTAATTTAACATGCTTAGTTTCCTGGGTACAGTGGATTCTTCTGTTTTTCTAAGACCAGGACTAGATTCTCCTTTCCCCTGGCCAAGGCTTAACAAACTCTTTGGTTTTTGCCTAGGGGGAAAAACTATCCCAAGAAATAAATTTGGATTCCCACTAGGACTCCTAAACACTATAAATTCACAAGAATAAATTCACAACAATATTCTCAAAAGAAGAACTTAATACAGTATTTTTGAGCTGAGACCCCCTCTGCGTTTATACATTCAGTAGTGGGAGGATGAAAGATGCATGGTTCAAAATTTCAAAACCTCCCTAGGAGCGCAGAATATTTCTTGCTTTCAGCTTACAAATAAAGCAGAGGATTGAACCTGAAGCGGGGTACTAGCCTCCAACAAGATGGCAGAACTCACTGAGAGAACATTCCTTTCATGAAGTTTCTTAAGTGAATTTATTTTAGGCTCAAAGAAAGTCTCTTCGAATATTAAGCAGTAGGGAAACTTGAAGTGAACTGAAGAAGTGCGTTGGTGCCATCTGCAGGTTCACTGAAAGTTTTACATATAAAGTCTATGGAGAATTCTCCTACTTTTACTTTGCAGTGAAGGCTTTAATCTGTATACAGGTTAAGAACATGAACACAAAATGAACTCTGGCAAAATGAATCTAGATTTAAGATGACTCAGAAAAAGTGACAGTGAAACATCTTTTCAACACATGGAGAATTCCAATACTGTGATTCATTCAGATTCCTGTTGCTTTAAATCTCCTACCAGTCAGGACACCCTGACAATTTTTCTTTTGTAGTTGGGAAATCAAAAGGAGCTAGGTCATTAGCCATGAGGGAATAAAAGGTCACGAAGGGATGGGCCTAGATTAGATTATTTGAACCAATACTCTCTGGTTTTGAAATGGCCAAAGATTCTTCCCTTGTTTACACATTGGTCCCAGCACATGCTTCTATTTTTAGAAAGTGGCACAGCCTCTCTAATGCATTTGGATTAAGTTTCCTACTGAATGCAATGGATATTTGATATGAACTATACTGGCTGCTGTTTTGAAATAAGAATTCTTAAAACACATCAGATACTCTTTGGAAATATGATAACCTGCAAGAAAACAATCCTGGTGATATTTGGGGTTGTTAACCCCAATAACTGCAGATAGTGAAATATCACTAGCCAGCAAATACAAGAGGATTTATCTACCTGCTCTGTAAAGTCGTAGAATTTATGACCTAGCTTTTAAGTAGCTCAATTATAGTTCAGTCCCTTGATTGACCAATTCCTAGCTCACTTCGGTCTATCACTCATAACAGAATACTGTGTGTATGACTTTAGTAGTAAGAGCCTAAATATTAGAACCATTGAAATGAACATGGAATCCCACGTTACGTTTGTACTTCATAATTATATAAGACTGTATACATTAATAGTTTGTTAGAGGAATGTGACCCTTTTGCTGGTTTACAATCAGACATCTTGAATCAGGGGCATTAGCAGTGGGTGGAGTTTAAAAAGTCAAGATAGCATTGTAATTGTGGAGCCAAGTTCCATCTCTGTGTTTACATTGACCATGGTGGGGTCCAAACTCAACTGCTTGATAGGACAAAGGAACATTGTATAACATTGTAACACAAAAAACAAATATTTGCTTGCTAAAGAATGACAATGGGTATACTTCAGACATTGTCCCTCACACTGTCTAAATAAATACAATGACAGCTGAAACAACTTATCTGTGATAACAACTAAAAAATTCCTGGCAGCCTCCTTTTACATTACTTTATCTGATGTTCTATAGAATTTTACATGGTTTCAGGAAGGGGGGGGAGCTCAGAATTTTGCTGTAGTGCCTCAATTAATAAGTGACAAGTTTCATATTCCTTCGCATTTCTCCTGTCCAACAGTTGCTAAAACCCTTCTCTCACCTTTTTATAGTCTGAAGTAGGAAATAAAATGGATTTGTACATATTACCAAGGTCTCCTCTAAGGAAATTCAAGGGTATTTTTTGGTGTTTCATTATTGCAATTTGTCAAAAACTTCAGGCAGAGTCCCTATCTACTGTATTTTTCTGTGTGTAAGATACTTTTTCTTAAAAATATTTACCTAAAAATGGAGGGGCATCTTATACACGGGGGGAGCTGAGAAGAGAACCATGGTTGTGAAACTGCCGATACCTTATCTCTGCAAACTAGCCTCACGAGCAAAACTTCATATTGCAGAGACAAGCTCACAGGTTTCCTCCAATCGTGAGCCTTATGTAACTGACATCAGCTGATGCTGTAGAGAGGATGTAGCTAGTGCCCAGATGTGACAGGGTGTGGTAATGTTGGAGCGTTCTGAGCCCATAAAAATGACAGAAAACAAAAAAATAAATACCGCTACCGGTAAGCGAATGTCTTACTCTGCAAAATAAATATCTTCTATTTAATGTTTAAAATATTTATTTCTGAATGTTGGGTAAGAAAAATGGGGGGGGGGGCATCCTATATATGGAAGGGGTCTTATAGACAGAAAAATATGGTAACTGAATCAGAACAACATCACAGCAATATTGTGCTGATCAGTAGGTATTGTTTAGCATAGAAGAGGAGGCCTATTGCATTCTTCTTGGTGTTTAGATTATAAATATTGTCAAGTCCTTTAACTTGTTGGGCTTTATGTTTTTTCCTTAGATTTTATGACAAGAAATACCAAGTGTTTCTAAAACTTGCGGAAGATCAAAGAAAATATAAATCCATCATGCTGAATGCATAGACAGCGTATTAGAGGTCTGACTGATTTCTTTGACTTTCTTGATTAGCTATTTACATTAATGAGAAACATTGTAGTAAAAATAAAAAAAATACTTTATATCCTGTTGAATATGAACAGAGATGTATTTTATTAAAGTGATATCATGGTACAAACTTGTCAAATCTACTTTTCTTGAATCAGTGTCTTAACCAGAACTGCAACTATCATTCAGCATTCAGTTTTTTCATAATTGCATAATCTGTTAAAAAGCTTGCAAAAAATATGTGTATTAGGCAAAAGTGTATAAAAATATATAGATAAAATATGCAAAATGCATACTTTTTAAAATTTGTAAATTTACGTGCAAATAAAATAAATTGAAGCTTGGGAGAGAGAATGTCAAAATTATACAGTAAATGTACCTTCATTGGTCAAGCTTTCTATTTAATGTCAAAAACTAAATTGGAGAAAGATTTCATTCTTGTTGCTTATTGTTGTTTCCAGTAACAAAATCAAGAGTCATGAATGTAAGTTTCTCGGGACCATCATTACAAATAACCTGACCTGGAGTGCAAACACCGCTGCTTTAATTAAGAAGGCACAACAACGGTTGTATTTACTAAGGATTCTTAGGAAACAACAACTGGCTGAGAGTCTACTGACTACCTTCTATCGGAGTTCAATTGAGAGTATATTATCCTACTGTCTCTGTGTATGGTTCTCGAGCTGCACAGTGGCAGAGAAAAAGGCAATTCAGAGGGTGATCAAGACGGCCCAAAACATCATTGGCTGCTCACTCCCCTCTTTGGAAGAACTGTATAGGAATAGACGTAAGAGGAAGATACTTAATATATTGAATGACTCCTCTCATCCGGGACATCAGCTCTTTGAACTATTACCATTGAGAAGGAGATTTAGGGTATTAAGAACAAGGACGACCAGATTTAAGAACAGTTTTTATCCAAGTGCAGTTTTGAGTTTGAATGCAGGGTCATAAGATTTTTGTGGAATTAAATGGCTGAGAGTAATGGGGTATTTACATTTTTAAATTGCATAGAGATGATTGTATGGTTGGTTGTGTTTAGTTTAATTTTTTTCTTTTTAGTGGTGTTTGTCCAGTTTTTACTTTGTGGAAGAGCACCTCATTTCGTTGCACCCGCTTGCGAGTGTAATGACAAATAAATTCTTATGTCTTATGTCTTATGTCTTAATGTGACAATATGAGAGCCAAAAATTAAGAAGACATACTCTTAACGAACTTTGTAGAATAAATTGCTGCAGAAGAGAATAGATATAATTTTTCGCCATATTTTTTTCAATTCATTATCAGTGTACTTTTAAATATGTCTTAAAACTCATTTGCCAGCCCTTCAATGTAGACTAAGTCAGGAAACAGATTGTTGGACTCTTGTTATACAAGAATGTTGGAGGATCTTGCTTTTTGCTAGAGTAACAAAATGTTAAAAATCTGGTTGTGTTTTCCTATCCATCTTTCAGGGAGTTAAGGCAGAATCCGTTTGAGTTTCTTTCTAATGTCCTTGATTTCTGGGTTTAATAAATGCATAGTTTGTTCAAGGTGATCTTTGTGGCTCTAGTATTGCAGTTATTGTTCTTATCAAAATTAATAAAGATCATTTATACATTTTTCTACTATCTCAATTCAGTTATTTTAACTGATCAGTTTAATCTGAAATTTGCTCAATTATTCAAAGCTCTATGAGATAAAAATAAAAATTTAGAAAAACATCAGATAAATTCTCTGTTCCAGCTCATAATCTCCTAAGTTTCTTGTTACCTAGATAATGTGTTTCTTGTTTATTATCTGTTAACCTTGTTTTTTTCAATCCCCTACCACAAAAAAATGATTCAGTATTTGGATAAGAGCCGTGATGGCAAAGTGGTTAGAGTACAGTACTGCAGGCTTTTTCTGCTGCCTGCCGGCTGCCTGCAATTTGATAGTTTGAATCTCACCAGTCTCAAGGTTGTCTCAGCCTTCCATCCTTCCGAGGCGGGTAAAATGAGGACTCAGATTGTTGGGGGCAGTATTGGAGAGGGCTGTAAAGCACTGTGAAGCAGTATATAAGTCTAGATTCTATTGCTATAATATCTTACAGTTGTTTCAAATACACTGAACAATTCAAAATGTATTTCAGAATATTCAATTTATAGCACCAGCTTGGGATAAAATAAAGTAAAATTCCATCAAAATTGGCTGATGAAAAAGAAAAATAGATAATGACTGCTTGAGAGTTATCCAACTATTTTATGTTTCCTTGCAAACACTATTTCTCAAAACTAGCCTTTCTTGCTTGGGTTTTCTAGGATTACAGATAGTCCTCAGTTTACAACAGTCCATTTAGTGACTGTTCAAAGTTACAATGGTATTGAAAAAAGTGATTTATGACCACCTTTCACATTGACAACCATTGTATCCCCATGATCAAGCTTCAATTGCCTGGCAACTGATTCAAATTTATGATGGTTGCAGTGTCCCGGTGTCATGTGATCACCTATGGCACAAGTATCAAACTCATGGTATCATGCTGCTGTCATGTGACGTTTAGCAACATTGTTTCCCTTCACAGAGCTGGGAGAGGCGTGGCCTCCACATGATGCATCAGGCCAGCGGGCCCCTAGTTTGACATCCCTGACCTATGGGTTACCTTCTAACAACTAACGTCAATGGGAAGACAGATTCACTTAACAACCATGTTACTAACTTAACAACTGCAGTGATTTATTCAACAACTGTGGCAAGAAAAGTCGTAAATGGAGCAAAGCTCAGTTAGCAAATGTCTCACTTAGCAACAAAAACTTTGGCCTCAATTGTGGTCATAAGTTGAGGACTAACTATGTAATTTTTCTGAAATAAGTTTTACATAAATATGGATATAAAAAGAAATAATGCAACTCTCAGAACATTGTAAGAATACATGTATATGCATAGATGTATATACATATTGTATTTAGATAAATATAGTTTTAAGCATAACTAATGTATAAAAGCTTGTGTTATGAGGTGGTTCTACAAGAATCTTAACATAAAATGTTTGTACTGGTAACATGTGAAGCATGTGTTTTTCATTAACAATCTCTTTATTTTATTTATACTGTATTCACATAATCCTATGATTCGTATGAAAACTAAGGAGAAATTTCCTGAAAGTTACAATAATCAATCAGTGGAACAACTTGCCTTCAGAAGTTGTGAATGCTCCAACACTGGAAGTTTTTAAGAAGAGATTAGACAACCATTTGTCTGAAGCAGTATAGGATTTCCTGCCTGAGCAGGGGGTTAGACTAGAAGCCCTCCAAGGTCCCTTCCAACTCTATTTTATTATTCTATTCTGTAGTACTCTATTCTACTCTACGCAACTCTACTCTATTAACATCTAGACTTAGATAAACTTTATCTAGTACTGCCACTTCCTCATTTTCTCAGTACCTTCTGCTTCCTAATTTCTGTGCCTGCTTCTAACTACCAGCATCAATGTCCTAATCAGAGATATATCAATTATTCAGTCGTCCCCAAGATACCCTAAAATATATTCTTAAAACAACAGCAATGCCTTTTTAAAGACTCAGAGACCTCACTGGGTTTTCAGTCCTTTATTAGCATAACAGCATCCAGCCAATATATTCTTTATCATTTTTAATCACTTTTTAAAACTAAGTCCACTATCAGTCCATTATAAATGTATCACGGCTGGTTAATTTTGACCTTTCAGAGACAATGCAGTTCCCTCTCTTATGATGCCAAGGTAATGTTTTATTCCCTAGAGATAGTCCTATTTGCACCTTCTGATTCCATTTGAGGGCAAATGTTTATAAAGCTAATCAAAAGTAAGAGCATGACAGCTAAGTTATCAGCTGTCTGCAATATTCCACAGAGAGGTTCAGGCATCCCTTCAGGTGGGCAGGTTGAGCACATGATGGTTCCAAAAAAACAGATGACAACTCTGAAGAGAAAGATCCACACAAGGGCAGTTAGAGTGAAGATTCCTCTTAGGATAACAAGGAGAAGAAGTGGCATGTCATAAAGATGATCTATAAACTAAGCACAGAGATCGGGTAAGTTAGGAATCTACTACTTTATTAATTTTAATTCCGATTTTAGGGGAAGGAATTTTATAGCTGGGGATTTGCCCATTGCTGAACTCCATAAAATAAAACTGAACAAAGTGGAATAAATAACTAGTCAGCTCTCTTTCATCTTCCTAACTTGGGGTCACCCCAAAAAACTTACAGACTGAGGGAGTCCTGAGAAGCGTTTGTTGTAAGTTCTGATGTCATAGAAAGTTTGCTTGTTTTTCTTGTCAGGCTGGTTTTCAGAACAGGTGTACAAAAAAACAACCTTGCAATAAAAAAAACCCAAGATGTTTAGAACAAAGACATAGGTTTGTCTTCTGGTAGATAGAAAGACCTAATTAATTAATTATATGGATTTACATAGCCACCGTTTCACACTACATGATTCTACATGGCTTATAATAAAATAATAAATGCATACTATATAAAAGTGAAAACATGTAGCCACTAAGCATTTATAAAACAACTATCAACATAACCTGGATATGGGCTCTATCACACACCCGGTCCCCCGACTCGGGTTCAAAACCAGGTTTTCAGGACCACGTGAAAGTCCAGCAGGATTGGAGCTAATCTAACCTAAGAGGAAATGATGTTCTGAAGGCTTGGCAGATCAGCAGAAAAGGCTATCCTGGTCCCCATCTGCCAACATTCTTTAGCCAACTGGACTCCAGAGCAAGAGTCCTGATGCTATTTCATGATTGCTATTTCTTGGAGCTTCTGGGTAATATGCTTTACCCTTTGAGGTTAGTGTCTTCCATAGCAAGCTTGCTTTTTTACATTGTGCATTTTTCTCCATAATCAGCAGGTGAAGCTCAGTAGATTTTAACAGCGGTCAATCATTCCAACTCTGGGAACCAGCGGTAGCAGCAGTGTCGGTGGGGGGGGGGGGCAGAGGATGGTTCAACGCAAATGGAACTTTGCGCGCAAGCACGCCAGCCTTGCACAAAGGGAGTTTTGCGTGCTCATCCATTTGCCCACTTGCACCACCCAGTTCCTAATGGGCTGCGGCCCGGTAACAGGCCATAGCTAGGGATTGTGGACCCCTGGAGTATAAGAAGAAATAATGAAGTTATTTATTTATTAGATTTTTATCCTGACTTTATTTTTATAAATAGCCGAATAACTGAACATACACAATGGTCCTTTCTCACAACAACAACCCTGTGAAGTGAGCTGGGTTGAGAGAGACTGGCCCAAAGTCACGTAGCTGGTTTTCCTACCTAAGGTGGAACAAGAACTCACAGTCTCCTGGATTCTAGGCCAGCACTTTTACCATTACACTAAAATGGTTCCTTGAAGGCAATCAAACATTTTAATTTTTTTTAAAAATCAAAGCCTATTGCAGGTACACTGTTTAATCAGTGATAGTTCTTTGATCTGATAAGCATGAAATTAGAAATGCTGATATCTATATTAAGGAATGAAAACCTGAAATATGAGAGGGTTATTCTTGGCATTTTTCTGCCTTCTTTTGTAACTTCAAAGAAACAATGGAAACTCTTACTTTTTGCCTGCAAAGTGGACAGTTGATTGCACTCAGCCAAGACCCATGTTTCCAGTATTGAATTAGACAGTAACCTGGGAAAGGAAGACATGACATTGTAAACCAAAAAGTTGTGTAGAGGTAAAACACTGCAGCCAACTTTATAGCAAGGAGTGGTTACTTTGTTCAAGAAGGCAACAAAAACTCAGTGAGGTATACTGTACAATACTATACACTGAAATTTTAATTCTACATGAGCCAGTAATTAAATGGATATCCATTTGCACATTTGAAAAAAGGAATTAAACATTGCCTGAAAACTTAATACTCAAGTTTTGCATTTGTTTCTTGTGTTGACATATTTACAACAGAAAAGCAGATTTGAAGGCTGGAAAAGCAACCTTTTTCAAGCCAGTGTATTTGTGGATTCAGACATTTCAAAATGACATCAGATCTTTCAATCATGTTTGTTGCAGTTCTTTTTTTTTAGGCCCCCACAAGAAACATAGCTAGTAATTAGAAATAATATTGGCCCAATATTAGTGTTCTATGCCATTTCCTGGATATATGGTTTGAAATTCAGTTGAAATGTGAGACTTTTGGAAAATGTGTAGCAATTTGTAACAATAATACAAAAGAACAATCTTTTTTTTAAAAAAAAAAAAATCATGCTCTATAAGCATTTAAAACTTAAAGAGATGAAACTTTAAAACTTAAAAGATAATACATTTTCAGTAGTTATACTTGCACCTTTTAATGCCAAATATAATTAAATGTACAGAGTGAAATTTAGCTAGTCCAAAGCCTGTTTGTACTTTCCGTCTTAAAATTGTATGAAAGTGGATGCAGGGAGAAAATTATAAAAATTCATTGGGAAGTTTGTTCATTGTTATCGATCATTGTGTGGATATGTTGGTTAACTTGAACTATTTGTATATTCTTCAAGCTTGTATTTTGGGAGGATTGAAATAAAATGGTTTATGCATTTTATAACTTTTACTCCCTACTTGGAGCATCTACTATTAGAACAAAGTAAAAAGATCAGGAAGGGATTCCTGTGTGGGTGTGGTTAACTGCATGAATGCTCTTGTTTTATAGCAGAAAATCAGATTATATCAGTTCCCCTTCTGGCTTTGATAGCCAGATATTTTTAATATACATGTGTTGCAATATGGCTAAATTAAATATGTTGCCTTTATATGGTCTATCCTATATAACAAAGGCAAGTGGATACCAAAGGCAGTGGGAAAATGAGAATTACATTTTAATATAATTATAAATGTGAGGTCTTATTCCATACGTTAAGTTCCTTACTAATCCATATCAGAATGTTATTTGTATTACAATCATTCTGGAGGAACAGGTTTATTCTAATAACTCTATAATTTGATATATTGCACTGCTGATAATCCTGATCTTAAATGCTTGTAGAATGATGTGCAAAAATGAAAGGGTCACATTATTGGAGCAGTGCCCTTTATCAGAAAAATATCTGTCATCAATATTATTTTGCTGCATTAGGCATGCTACTATTTCTCTTCATATGCCCTGTGGTATAAACTTTTTGGGAACAATTTCTGCTATGAAAAATCTTAACAACAATCCTACAATCTCTCTCTACATGATGGAAAAAATTGCTTAAATAAAGAAAAAAAATGACATCTTTTGAACACTGTAAGATTGCATGATGTAGTATTGTGAAGAAGAGATATTAAAGTGTGCATAAATTCTAGAGTGTTTTTAATAAAAATAAATAAATTTGAAATACTTCTAATTTGTTTGTTTTTGTGCCATTTTTTCAGATGGTAGGAGGTAGTTTTTAAATTTACTTCTCAAGGCAACAATGTTCATATTTTTGCTATTTAAATTAGTTTAAAGCTTTGACTGCCAATTGTTTTTGTTCTGTTTGATATAGCTATTTCTGTTGGCCTTTTGCCAGCTCAGAGACTCAAATGGAAATGTTAAATAAGTACAGTACTCTTGGTCTCAAAAGTATAAATTTCCTGTTTAATTGTCCACAAGACTTCCTGAACATTGCAAAACTTTGTAATATGTCTGTGGTACTATACAATAGGTGAAGTAAAAGTGCTGCTTCATTTATTTTTTTCATAATAAAAATAGTGATGGATGTATACATTTTTACAATAGATATCAAGGTTAGTTCACACATGGTAGTGTGAATATATTCAGAGATAGATCAATGAATATTATGTTATGATTTATTTCATGGAAACTGGCCCTTATCAGCTGTCTTTTGCATAGTGCCATCCACAAAAGGGCATTTGTTTCACAAAATATAAATGTTCTCTACAGTTTGATTCTATAATTTCATGTTAAGGTTACCGTAGTCTTGCAAAATAAAATGTATGAGCAAAAAGTAGTAGCCCAATTAACTTGCCACAAAAGAAATGTCCACAGTTGGTTTCTACAGGGAAATTAGCGGTTTGGAGACAGATAGGACAGCTCAAATCACTGGGATAAGATTGCTGCCACTGCTGAAGACGTTCCTAAGAGGGGGGAAAATACTATGTTTAAAGATATTCCAGTTAATTCCAGATTACTCTGAAAAAGTAGTTCAATGCTTAATAGAATGCTTACTAGTTTTATATATTTCTGAATCTGCCATAGTAGTTGATTTATGACTGTGGGTTTCCTTTGAAAATGCTTATGTAAGCACTCATTTAAAAAAAAAAAGTTGTAGGATGGGAAAGAAGCAGAGTAGTGTATTAAAGGCAATCCCTTTAATACTTGAAAACTTGATTAATGGAGTCATTCTGTTTTTATAAATTCAGCATATCATATATCAAGCCTCTGTTTGGAAAAGTAATCCTACTTCTTGTTTTTGAAGTTTCATCTCTTACCAAAACAGGAACCATATGTTTCTAATTAAGCTGCCACAAAATTCTGGGTTCCGGGATATTCCATTCTTCCGGAGGATAAATAATCAGAAGTTTGAAAACTTTCCTGATACCTATGATTTTTGCACACATCTTTTGGCTTTTGTATTATGTAGCTTAAGAAATGTTGTAAACTTACTATTCTGGAGGATGAAGGAACACAATTCTTTTCCAAAGAACTCATTTCTTGTCTTTAAGTTCAGATCTCTATAAAATAAGACTTGATATAATTTTGATAAAATAGGTTGTTGATAAGACATTTGGTTAGATAGGTATGTAGTTCAAATAAGCACAATGAATATTTATATAATAGCATGCTCTTCCATGCTTCCTTAGACTATTCTTCAGTCATAAAATCATCTCATCTCCTCCTTCCCAAGGATAATTTTTCTTCAAAGCATTTGCATTTCACACACATCTTTTCAATTGTAGGCATTTTCAATGCAGGTGCTGAAGTTTAACTGGTAATTTGATAATCTTCAATGTATAACTTCTTTTGTTTCAGTTATTAGGTGGGTAGAACTAATTAGGCTATGCATTATCCCATTCACTCCAATGCAATGATGACTGTACATATATATTCTTGTGCTTGGCGCTTTCCCATATTCTGAAGTCTATAGAGAATCCTATACCAGTTCAGTGAGGCATAAGGTTCTCACATTTGCTCAACTGCTGAGGTTAAAAGAAATTTCACCCTAAATACTTAAATATCTCAGGCTGTGATCCTGTATCTTCAGAAATTTACTCTTTTACAGGTCAAAAACCAGGCACAATTTTGACACCAAAACCACATTGGTGGGAGGGGAACTCATCCTAAGAAAAGAGCAAGTTGGCAGCTTCAGAATTATAAAAAAATATCCATGCATGCAAATATATTAATTTAATCGTTACATTTACATTTAGTTAACTGACTGTAGGGAATATAATTACTCCCTTGTATGTATGTATATATATGTATATATGAGTCGATAGCAAGAGTATATTTCTAAATATTTTTTTCAGAACTTAGTAGTGTATAACTTATTTTATTCTCACTGAAATAAAAAAACAACATTTTGACTGAAGTCATTTGTTTATTTTATCAAATTTAGACATCACTGATTTCACTAAATTAATTATAATTTTAGAATTATAATAAATTCTATAGTCTTGGATTAGACAAATCTCTATCTTGATTTCTATTCTTTTAATAGTTTATATAATTAACCAGAAATGACTGTATTAGAAACATTTTTTATTCATTTAGAACTATTTTCAGACTGAAGGAATAACTTGTTAGAATCCATCATTGGTTAACTAACCTGATATATTGTTGGAGACAGTTCGCTCTTTTAACTGTATAATCCAAACAGAATCTGGAGTGTTCTTTTTAAGCAACATAACACAAGGTTTGTGGACATTTACAGTTCCCGATCAGCAGACAGATAGGGTCAAAAAAACCTTACTTCCTTATCTTTGACCCGAGACCCCATTTGTAGTTTTAAGTGACTGCTGGTTTTAAAAAAGCATCAGAGCTGTCCTCTGTTTATTTTGAGCTAAGTCCAGCATCCCAGATGAGTTATAAAAAGAAATTGGTATTTCACAGAGTTAATGATTCATTGAGGCATTTGCATGCCACTTGAAAAATCTCTCCATTTCTCCCTCAAAGACTAAGTCAGCGAGTTGACCTTGACACTGTCTCCATACAAATGCTTTTGAGTCAAATCTTGATTTCTGATGACTACCTAAACTAATCCTGAAGTTTTCTTGGCAAGATTTTTGGAAGTGGTTTGCCACTGCTTCCTTTCTAGGGCTGAGATATGGTGGCTGGCCCACAGTCACCCAGCTGGCTTTGTGCCTAAGGCAAAACCAGAACTCACAGTCTTCTGACTTTTAGCTTTTCACTACTACACCACACTAGCACTCATATGTTATCTGTGCACATGTGTGCGCTTACACACACATATACATATGTAGATAGTGCTAATACTATCTTGCCATGATTTCTGGTTTAGAGGCTATTAAATTAACAAAACAAGTTACACAACAAATATTATATATTCTGCTTAAAGTTACAATTTAAAATTCAACCTTGTTTTTCTCTTTACCTCAACTATAGATCTAGAGAGGAAATTTTCAGACGTCAAGCATATAAAATACCTTACTAGACCAATTATTAGAAATTGTGGTATTTATTTAATTCATTTGTTTATTTATGCCCAACACTCCCCATTCAGCATGTAATAATAACAAAAGTAAGCCTTGACATTAAGATTTACATTGTAAGGACATTGCAAATCTATGTGTTCTTACGTAGAATTAAAGGATACTGAGGCCTGAAAAGAAAAACAAGGATAACTGAAGGCCAAATATGTATATAGCTTTCTTCCTACCATACGATAGTACAAGAGAATGGCAATTGGGTGACAGATGGAGAAGTGACAAAATCAAGTTCTATATTGATGGTTGTAGTTTAGTTGTGTTATACAGAAGAAATAAAACCTCGGGAGGGGATCAACACTGGTTGAAAAAAGTGATCCTGACAATTCTTGGGAGTTGAACTTATTATGCTATATTTGAGCCAACTTTGGCTTCTGAGTTATCTTCAGAGGCAGCCCTAAGTATAGGGAATCTCAGTAACTGAATTGTAAGGTGAAGAGGGCATGAGATATTGTCATAACAACTTTTCACTCCCCAAAAAACTTAGAATTGGCATCACCAATCAAGTCTTGGCAAAGAGCTCTCTGGCCATGGCCTGCATCTGCTGCTCTATAGAACCTACAAATCCAGGAGGACCTCAAATCACAGACCTGCTGTTCTCAGCTCACGATATCCAAATTCACTACTGCTAAGAACACCCTGGTTTTAAATGCGTGTCAACAGATCTATGAAGCAGTCAACTTTGGTTTCTCTTCTGTTGCAGTTTTTTTGCATTGTAACTTATACTGTACAAGATCTTTCAATCCTCAGAAATGTTTTTGGATAGCACACAATGAATAAGAATCAACCTACTTTCTATAAGTTGAAACAGCTCCTCTTTGGATACAGCTTAGTATACCCTAATATAAATAAAAATTGCATAAAATTCAGCTAAGTTTAATTTTTAAGTTGTGTGCTTTTTTTCTGTTTATGATTTTAGAGAAGATTTTAGCAGAGAATGTGAACAGACCTCCAGTATTTAATCTAAAATTGAAATGAACATATTTTTTTTCAAAAGGCTCTTATTTTTACTTTCTGTTATCAAAAAGCAAAACAAAAAGAAAAGTTATTTTGATACTTAAATGAAAATCTCCCTTTCCCCTCTTTTATCTTATGCAAAAGAAAATACAAAAACACATTTTTTAAACTTAAATTCACATCATTTTAGTAACTTACCTGGTCCCAGAAAAGGCACACAAGTTATTATATATGACTATACTTTAGTAGATGCCTAGGGACAACTTTTCACACACACACACAAATCATCTGATCTTCTCTCTAGGTTAGGGTGACAGAAGAATGTTGTGATAGAAGGTCACAGCCCATAATTTATTAAGGTGGGCCATTTAATTTAGTTAATCATTAACATGTTTGACTAATGTCAAGGTTTTGCAGGATTTCCAAATACTTGTGGAAGTATTTGTTCCTCGTATTTATAAGAATTAAATCATTAAAACTATAATTTAGTGATTCCAGAAAGATTCCAGATCTTAAGAGATATTAAATTAGAAATAATGTATATGTCCAATTTTAGGACATATTTGCAAACTTAATAAGAAAGCGCGCTATCAAGTAAGCTTCAAAAGGAGGATATTGGATCTCCAAATAATTGTATAATTATAAAGTGGAGGTGTAATTTATTCCCCTTGCCAAGAGAGTCAGAATGCATATAAATACAGACAGGTTACTTTAAGGGAAAGATTATTGCTGAAATAGTATAAATACATCTTATAGTGTAGATGTGAACTCCAAAGAGGCATGGTGGAGCAGTGGTTAAAATGCAATATTGCAAGTTAATTCTGCTAACTGCCGATTGCCAGCTGTTTGGCAGGCTCAAGCCAGTTTGGTTGACTCAGCCTTCCATCTTTCCGAAGTGGGTAAAATGAGGACCCAGATTGTTGGGGGCAATATGCTGACTCTATAAACTACTTAGGGTTGTAAATGGGTGGGATTCAAAATTTTTAACAACCGGTTCTACGGGCGTGGCTTAGGTGGTGGGCGTGGCTTGGTGGTCATGTGACTGGGTGGACGTGGCTTGGTGTTCATGTTATTGGCTGGGCATAGCCAACTCAATATCACTCACATCGAGGCACGCATCTCCTTGCCTGGCTTCTCATGACTATGGGGATGCTGCAACAGTCGTAAGTGTGAAAAATAGTCATAAGTCACTTTTTTCAGTGCCATTGTAACTTTGAATGGTCACTCCACACAAGCAAAGTACCAGCAAAGGAGGGGAAAAACTCCAGAGACATTCCTGAGACAGGAAGTCTAGTCCTGCCAAGAAGGTAATAAGGGTTAACGGAGAGACAGTTTCTGTAAGCAACACCAGAATGTTTCCTTCCTGCCTTCCTTACAGGATTAGGCCAGTAATTTCTTCTAACAAACGGTTCTCTGAACTGCTTAGAATGTTAACAACCGGTTCTTGCAAATAGGTGCGAACTGGTAGAATCCCACCCCTGGTTGTAAAGCACTGTGAAGTGGTATATACTGTAAGTCTAAGTGCTATGGCTATTGCTATCTGGCTACCTACTTGTGATGATTCCCAGGATGGATGAAATGGTGTTACCTTCAGGTGATCTATATAGCTTCAGAATAATTTTAGAGTCAGCAGCAAGCAAAGACAGAGATAAGAAATCAACTTGTTCTTCAACCTTCTCATGATCTCAATTGAGTATAGACATGTGTAAGAAATAGTCTTTAAACTGAGAGTTTGCAGAACCTGTTGCTTCCTGCACTAAACTCTCCAAAGGACAGACAGTGATTAATTCTACTAGGAATCAGATCTGCCTGGTCTCTCCATCCTAAAGCCAGTTTTTAGCTAGATTACTTGAGTTCCTCAGTTGGGATAGAACAAAGCATCATTTTATAACTATGCTTGAGGCATTGTAAACAATTACAGTGCTTTGCTCACCCCCAGTCCTCCTGAGAAGTTTTAGTGTTTTATTCCAAGAACAAAAGCTAAATCTGTTATTCATGTTGTATGGAAAAAATGCATCCTGATGGGACAAAATCCCTCCTGTCAAAGGTATCCAACAAAGCTAAAAAGATTAGATATGGATTGGTTCTCTTTTATTACATTATCAAATAAAATAAAGACCAATCCACATCTAACATTTTAAGTCAGCAAGACAAATTGAAACAGATGAACACAGATGTGTGGAGATGCTTTGGTTCAATGAAATTTTGAGAGCAGCAGCTCAAAACAAGTTCACAAAGGGTTTCTAAGGATGAAGGATGTTGCTTTGATTCAGCGTGCTTCATGGCCCCTCTGTAGCTTCTTCAAAGACTTGCACAGCTTGGAAGAAACTTTGATGCAAGGGCCCCTGTGGAAAAACCTCTTCCAGTTTTTTTGCAAATGCTAAAAGAGTTTATGAAGAAGGTTCACACCATATCATCCTTCACAACTTCCTCTTACTATCTTTTGGCACTTGCAAAGTGGAGGAGTTGCAAAATGGCACTTTTCTCCTCACAGCATTTTTTTGTATTTACAGATGCTAAAATTGTAGCTCTGAATAGAGACTTTTGAATATTCCTAAGTACAGTAATATTTTCTCTGAAAAATAAATTATTAATAAAATTAATATACTGCAGTGGGCTTACAGGGCCCAACTTTTGGTACACCCTGCACAATATACCCACACAACTAGTAAACACGTGAACATTTGAAAGGATATCATACAGACTCCTGCAAATCTGTCTGCTTGCCCATTCACAAAATATTTACAATAGAGAGATGTAACCAGATACATTACACAATATACCAGATAGTGAATGGTAACCTTGCTTCTGATCTCAGGTTTTCTTTTTATCCTTTCCTTTTCTGAGAACAGATGCACTCTCTTCCAAATAAAATTATAGACTATTAAATCCCCCCATGAAAATTAGATAATTTTCTTTAAAAGTAAATTATTAATAATATTAAGCGCTCTTGTTGGGTTGAATATATATATCCATTTAAAGGAAACCAACACATTGTAAAATAATTTTTGTATCAATATATAGTACATCTGATATATTTGATATGTATACAAAATCAGAAATCAGAAGTTGACTTCAAAGTAACTTGCCACATGATATGAATGTGAAAAATTCTTCACCCTTATTGAAGGAAAAGCTGCTTATTTGCCAGAGACCTCAAAAGCCGTATAAAATCTGTCTCTTCACCCATTATTATAAATCATATTGGGAAATAAATGCCTTAGCCATATTGCTACTCAAATAAATGAAGTATTGCGGATTGGGTCCAATGAACTGCCATCTACTATACTAATACTATTTTACATAATGTGAGCATAAAATATGAGATTTATTTCATAGAATCAGGGCTGAATAAAGAGCATATATTTTCTCAGTCTCCCTTTGTAGTCTCTGTGGCTATTGATGATTTAGCAAAGGTAAAATACATGGATTGCTAATTCTCCAATGTGTTTTTATACAAAGAACTGGAAAATAACTGCAGTTCTGACATGCATTAACTTTCTTTCCAACCAACTGGCTATCTTTTCCAGTAGCATTTGAAATAATTATTTTGCATGGATTGATACATGATTT